GGTTCCATCCGAATGAGCCTCGGTTGAGTAGGCCGGGCAGAGAGCGTCTTAACAGTTCTGTTGAGCGCCTCACTACGTGCATGCTCAAGCCTAAGTTCATCCTGAGTCTTATTGATGGACTCATCTGTGGCTTGGCTGTTTACCTCGGACGCGTTTCTACGCTGTCCGAGCACAAACGCCTCAAATTGCTCCAACTGAGCAACATGTTGCTCAGGAGGACAATGCAAGAGGTTGACCAGGGCTTGTTCACCAAGTACCTGCTCCATATGCTCTGTCAACTCCCTATGATGTTGGGAGAGGTGAGGGAAGTCACTCCAGTCCATATTGAGGACCATCTTAACCACACGAACGCTCAGAGAGACGGGTCGTGCGAAGGACTACAAGTGCTACCAAGTGTAGACGGGCACTTCTACGAAGTTGCCTCGTGCTACTAGCACACATCTTATGCACAGGCGAGGAAGCGGTTAGACCGTCTTATCTTCGCGTGCGAGGGTGGTGATGCGGTTGTTCGACTACTTAAGCAGTCTTACCACCAGTTGCCTCTCGCTTAAGCGAGAGTGCAGCGTACTTTAAACAAGAAGTCATTAGGCCCCAGGATACAGGGCCCAGGGTACCGACGTCATGCAGAAGCTTTTCAGCTTCTCGTGCGCGGTGCTTTCGTTTTGGCAAATTCATGACTGAGCTATATTCAATGAATTATAATTAAATATACACCTATCTCCTTATTGGCTATATATATACATGTATAGATCGGATGCGCGCTCTTTAGAAGCGTATCCTGACGTGTGAGTTTAAATCTAGATTTAAGATTGCTAATGACGTCCTTCTGAGACGGCGCGATGCCTAGCTTCAACTAGCGTCATCCCTTCTTATGTGAATCCATCAATGGATATCACATTGATGAGGTGGATCACGTTTGTGTATCGCAGGTCAAAAGTAATCATGGATACTTTTAGACCTTTACATTAGGTATATTACTTAATGTTTACGTGTAACTAGATGCCCTGTTACAATATTTGCATTGGCTGAATTTGCATTTTACATCGATAATAACATGAGATCCTGGTCGGTTGGGGTAACGCCCTTTCGGAAGGCCTGAGCTAGCTTAATGCTAGACAGGCCTTGGACAGATGCTTTACGGTATCCGTCAGCTTAGTACGGGCATCTCTCCATCTACACACCTCTCTCTTGCCGCTCTTACCCACAGCCGCCAGTCAAGCCGCCACGATGTACGCCGCCACGCCCGAAGTCCCGAAGTCCCGGCATCTCCGCTTAGGTAGGCTCGCATAATCCTCTGTTCCACGGTGCAAGAAACAAAAGGCCCTCCCTGGATAGGACCTGTTGACAAGATAGACATCCAAGGGTTCCAAGCAAGAAACCTACCACTGGAAACCGCCGTCGACTGGCCCCAGACCTGCACCTCCTTTGCCGGTGTGCAAAGGATCGTGCAGCCTGGACGTCCTTCAGCGCGGCGCATATAGCGCACGCCGCCTAATGGATCCTGGAGAGAGTAGAGAGAAACGTATAGAAGAGAAATAACCCGACGCGTGTGGAAATTGAGCCACTTTGGTGGCAATACGGCTAGCGTAACGCGTTAACATACATACAATTGTGGTGAAGTGCCAGGAGAATCGGGGCTCAGGGTACCAAGGCCCCAGGGTACCAGGGTACAGGGGCCCCAGGGTACATGGACCCAGGCCTCGCAAGGTCCCAAGGTTCAATCGAGGGTCACCAGGGACAGGGTTTCCAGTCACCAGGAACCAGGGTACTAGTCACCAGGGACAGGGATACCAGTTACCGGGGACAGGAATACCAGTTACCGGGGACAGGAATACCAGTTACCGTGGACAGGGTTCCTAGTAACTAAGGACAAGAGTATCAGTCACCATGGACAGGGCCTTAGGTACAGGGGTACCAGCGACCGGGTACAGGGGTACCAGCCTCCGGGGACAGGGGTACCAGTTACCGGGGACAGGGGTATCGAACGTCCATGGTCAAAGGTACAAGGTTACCCTACCGTGCGCACATCAGAACCCGAAAGGGCCAGTGCCCCGAGGTGGTCCAAGGTCCTAAGGTCAAAGAAGGTACAAGGTATTTCAACGTGCAGAGTCGGTACAGGCCCCAAGGTCCAAGAGCACAGGGCACAAGAGCCCAGGGTATCAGGGACCAGGATACAGGGTGCAGGGTACCGGGGTACTGGAGTATCGGGGTACCGGGGCCCAATGCCCGAGGGTGCAGAAACGGTACACGGAATATCAAAGATTACAGAAAGTATAGGTACCAAGGAGCCAGTTCTTCCTCCAAGAGTCGACACGTGGCACTATCCAGATCAAAGGGTTAGGGTTAGGCAAGAAAAGCATACAAGGTATAAGGTAAATAAATACACTCGAATTTGCATTACATGTGGCAGCTCCAAGCGCTTCCTTCAAGCTTCTCCGTCACCTCACCTATTCCGGGCGGGATACCTTTTGGCTCACCGACGTCAGGTGAGGTGACGGCTCAAGCTACGCAAGTTGAACCTCAGGATAGTTGGCCTGAGGTGTCAAGACTCAATTGCGAGCTTGTTTCAATCTATTCACATGTTCCGGGGAAGGGATTTATTTTGGCCCCCCCCCCGTTAAAGACAGACGTGTGGTAAGATTCAAGCTCGAACGAACCCCAGTAAGTATTTTGGCCTGTGGGTTCGTACCCATTCAAGACCCGCTATAGGAAGCGGTTCCCTACGGGGAACAAGAAAAGGGGTCGAAAGACCAAGAAACCGTTAGACTCCGAAGGGGTACATAGTACCAGGTGCACTGCTCTCGACCCAGTCGATTGAGCCCAAGAATCCCTGGGCCCGAGTGAAGCAAATTCACTCGTGGCCTCCAAGTCCCTCCATACAAGACCAAGTCTATAAGTCTTCTGCGTCCAACGAGGAGCAAGACCAGCCAAGCCGACGGGTACACAAGGTAAGACTTAATTTTGACGCGACAAGGTATCGGGGTACCCCCTCCGTAAGTCGGCAGTCCGGCGCTGTGTGTGTTTGTGGTTCTCTCACGTCGTTTGAGAATCCACTCCACCACACAATAACATGAGTAGATATCTTTTAATATATTTTAGGTTTCCGTATATCGAGCTTAATTCTATATAATTAGTTAGTGAAAGGATTGGTAGACATCAGCCTTCATACCCATCATTATAAATACAGCTTTTTCTACGTATTAGATGAAACACATGCTTTAAGTTTAATTTTTAACACATTGGTTTAGTGCTCAAACAAATACACTAAAGTGGTGGCACAAGCAAGTGTTGTCATCAAGTTGAAATAGGGTTAGTTACATGAAGTAAAATGACCCATATGTCTTGTATCATACAAATTAATGCACCTGAGATATGATACTGTAAAGTAAAAGTAAGAGTATGAATATAAAATAGTAGACTTTATTAACAATGTCCAATGCAACGACGGGTACACATTGTCCTTCAAAACGACAGGTACACATTGAGGCAAATGCTGTAGATATGTTCCCATAACATGGGCTTAGTGCTGTATTTTCACAAACGAAGCATTGTGAATAGGTTAAATTAATTCAGTTACAATAAGTGATTTGACCCATATGTATTGTATCATACTCATTTTTATTATCCTGAGTCAACCGAATGTTTTAAATTGTATTAATGTTTAATAATAATAAAATCTGTTACGGGGTTACACGATGGTTGGCTTCATTCTGAAAGCTTTAGGTTGAAGTTTCTATATTGCATATAATGTATTCTTGATACTTCTCTTCAGAGAGGTATTACCGAATACCGTATCCTATCGATTAGGATTCGATAATCGATAATGCTGTACTAAGTACACCATGCACAGATGTTTAGACGACACATCGCCCAATAACAAAGTCTGCATCTTATAATTACTGTTATAGTAATTAATCTAGCGTATTGTACTTAGAGTAGGATTAGTCACACAATCTTAATGATAGATAAAACAGCTCTCATTTTGAGTTTAAGATCGCAAGTCTCTTTGACTTGTTCTCTTGTGCACTTCGTGTGTTGGTTCTCTGAACCTTTGAGCATCTAGCTTGTTCTTGCACTCTTTGAGTTGGTTCTCTGGACCTTAAGCTTATTGCTTGTAGACTAAAAGTTCTCTTGTAGTTCCTTAGAACAGGGTGACTTCTTTGTCATTCAATTAGTTCCTTACAAGAAGTGGCTTTAAGCCGTTTAATGTATTTATTTCACAAGAAATAAGAGAATTTCTGCCGATTTTTTTTCTCTGGCTAAAGAGCTGTGTGGCTCCCCAACATAGAGGGCTTTCTAACTACAAGGAGATGCAAGGACAATATCATCTTGAAGATAATATTGCGAATATTATTAGCAAAAGTAATATTTTTTACTGGCATATAATTTATATGCCAATGCCATGTAATGGGCTAACCCAGTTTAAAGCGGTATCTAAAGAAGCCTTCTAAAGTACGCGTCTATTGGTGTTGTAATAGCGAGGGGTATTGAATGGCTATCTGTGCAGGTGGCTGCGCGAAATACATTGCTGACAAATGCAGTTTCAACCACGCACCATTAAGAATTCGTATGAAATGGGCAGCACTAAGCTTTACAATAACATATAATGTGCTAGATCCCACATGTGTGCCACCGCAGGCCGGCAAGCACAAAACAGTAAAACAAATCGTAGTCTTGATCTTTTCGGTTTCAAACATATCTCTCAAGTTTGTCTCACGTAAACCAACGATACGTTACGATTTTAATTTGTGTGCAGACCTGAATTGAGTACCACAATGAGTAGGTCACGTTCCGACTTATCATTCGTAACGTTGACGAGATAACATATGAAAAATGTCACAGATGACAGCAGGACATCGTAACGCTAGTCGATTATAGCGTGCAAGGACTTGCTTGGACCAGTAGCAGACTTTGCTTGATCCATTTGCTATTGTCTGGTTTTGTAATTCGTCGCATACTTACATGTGCTAAAGTCTCATCCTGAAAACCAGCCGCCTTATCTAAAAGAACTTGACGTAAATAACGAGCAGCACGAAGAGCACGACCGCAACAATGGGGCCGTACTGGCGATAGATGGCCTGCATGCGCAGCTTTTTGGCGCCCCACTTGAGGTCTTTTGACCTGTCCGCCAGATTCGAGGAGATACGCGATACGTCTAAGCAAAAGCACAGTAATAGCAATGCGATATTGTGCACCATAAGCAAAAGTCCAGACAATTCAGCAAATAGTAACACCAGTAACTTACTTTCAACGCGTTCGCCGCGGTTTAAAACCTCCTGAATGTTTTTGCGCATGATATTGTGAATATCAGCTAGATCGTCATTAAGGCGGTGCATATTCTGCGACGAGTTGGGATCGGCGTACTCCTTCCGCTTCTTCTGAATAAACTTGTCTGTTTCAATAGAAAAATGGCAGCAAAAATTCATCAGAGACTTCACTAATTCAAAGGTAGTAGCTATCTCTACTCACCAAACTTGATGAACGCATAGGGCCTCGCAACAGTCGTGATCACATCACGCCAATTGCTACCACTGTCACGTTCCAACTCCTCTATAAAGCCCGTATGCACCTCTTCTAAATATAAAAAGGCTAAACGTTTCGGAAATCCTCGGTCTGCCAGCGTCAAGTAGCACACCCCCTCCTGCATTAAATAGCTGCATAATCAATACAAACATCATAGCAACATGTGCTTTAATCAGTACAAAAATAGGGATTAAAAGGCCTCTTTGCCCTAAAAAGGAGAGGCTATTCTAGGCAGCTAAAGACGTACTGGAACGTGTAGGCGCCCGACTCGATGCTGCATTTGGTAGGCGAGCGTTGGTCTAGTTTCTTCATAATCTGCTTTGCCTGTTGCTTATACATGTCCAGATTCCCGTCTCCAATCGACTCCATAGATGCAACCTACAGCAAATTTCCAGCAATCAAGTAAGAATGAAGATATTCTAAAAATCTGAAATATGTGAACAGTGAAGAGGTACTGGAGTGCAAAAGTAACTGTGATATCAAGATAAAGTGTATGGTGTACAAATAAACATGATACATACCAGTAGCATGCCATCGGAGACGCGTGCAACGAACGTGATGATCGGCATCGTAGCAATTAAAGCTTCCAAGTCGTTTTTATAAGCGAACGGTTTTGTCACTATGAAAAATTACATACCTAGTCAGAATCGAAATGGTGTTTGATACATTAGATTTATGTGATTTACCCCATTACATGACGTCGATAGGCGATGGCTCTCCGCCGTATTCTGCTGCGCAGATCGACAATTGCGCGTTTTCTGCGTGGTATCCGAAGCTAAAGCGTGTATCTATCAAGAGTGTAGTGATACCTTTGCCATTGGATTTTGTCGATATCTTAATGGCTGACGGTGTGACGCTGCCGACGGCTCCAGTGGTTTGTCAGATCGAAGATGAGGACGAAGCAGATGCAGAAGATGCTGACAGCGTCAATGCACTCACAGATGAACAATTAAATGTCATTCTAAGAGTGAAAAAAGAAGTGGAAAAGGTGCTACAGGATTTTAATGGAGAACTCTTTCTCAAGACCAACTGGAGTGCACCTCGCGACGCTGCGTGGATGCTTGGCACGCTCAAGTGCACGACCTTTGAAGACGTTTTTCTGCTTCTCCAAGCCTCAGACTTTGTCGTACACGACTTCACGCAACCTTATACTGGATGCAGTGATACACAGGACAAGACTGTACCCCATACAGACTATTTAGTGCTCAAGAAATGGTGCAACTTTCTTGACTCGATGCTATTCCGGTGCTTCGTTGTCGGTCATCGTCTCATGGCTGTGTCGCAACGCAATTGCGACGAGTTCTACGAATTCCTTCCAGACCAGCAGGACGAACTATGCGAGTTGCTATACGAGTTTTATAAAAAGAACTTCCGAATGTCTGGTGACCAGTTTGTGTTTCCAGATCCAAACTACAGCTTTGACGTGTACGTAGACAAGCGTCGACGCGTCTACCTCTTGGACATCAACGTGTTTGGTGGTGTCACGGATACGTTGCTTTTTTCTTGGGAGGATTTACTGGAGCTGCAGGCGGAAAACCCAGCGACGCCACACGATGTCGAAGACGAGTACCACAAAATTGACTTTCGAGTGGTCGAGTCCAAAAAGGGCATCCGTGCACATCCGCTAAGCGAATATCGCGCGCCAACTGATCTTGTGGATCACCTTGCGGGTGGTGCTGGTTTTGACGCCTTCATTGAACAGGTTCGGCGCGACAATGCTGGTGACGGAGAAAACTAGAGGTCGTTTTGCAGCACATGCTTAACTCAGTCATAGATCAAAGAAAGTTTCTGTAATCGCTATCCGAGCAAGACAAGTCGGATCCATTTGTGATCCAACAGTGTTGCCCCTCTTGCCACAAGCTGCAATCAATTGCCTTCGTTTGTTATTGATACATTGGATCTAAGCTCTATAATCGACGTCCCCGTTAGGCTGCTACAGCGAGCTGAGTGACACATTCCCATAACATAATTAGCAACAGCCCATTCCAAAAATATTAGCAAGCCATTTACGCATCCCAATTATTTTCAAAAATCTACAGCCCTGCGGCACAAAAAAGTCTACGGTCGTCTTGATCCAGGGGTGTTCGCCACTTGCTGTTGTATAGATTAATCTCGTCAAGTACTGACTTAGAGCTCATATGAACCACGCGCAGAGTCATTGTCGTCGTTGTGGTCAGGAAAGTCTTCGCTCTCCTTGTTGCTATGTCCGCTGATTATGCTGCTCTGATCCATGTCAATGTTCCGAGTAGATGACATCTCGTAGCTGTTGCGGCTACTATTGTGTGAGGAGCGCGGAGACTCCTGCGCACTCAAATAGGATTCATTGTCCTTAGGCTCCATGGCGCTCAGCCACAGATTCGTGCCATTCGTGGCGGCGTTGTTTCCAAAGTCTGTCTGCGCCGGGTCTCTCTTCAGTCTATTCATCGAAGTGGGGGACGTGGGCGTGTTGTCATAAAAATGCGAATAAGCCACACCTGCTCCCATCGCATTGGCTGGGGGCGTCCGCGTGTTTGACGTCATACCATTGCCAGCTGGACCACCCATTGCACGGGAATTGAGCGAATTCTGAGCATTGAAACCACCCGGCGTCGGGTTGAAGCCCTTGTCCACAGAAAGCTCAAATGGCGACAACGGGTCGTCTTCTAAATCGCGTCTGCTGCGGATGATGCACATAATGATCGCGGCAATGATGGTCACGAATGCGATGATGCCCACCACGATACCGATCACGGCGCCAGTGCTCATGGACGCTGACGACGTGTCCGAGATGGGTTTTGCACTCGACGATGAGCCAGGGCTCGACGACGCAGCGCTTTCAGGACCGGTAGGCGTCGGCGAAGACGGCGAAGTCGCCTGGGGAGGTGTCGTGTCCGTAGGTGAAGTCGGTATAGACGGTGTAGACGGTGTAGACGGTGTAGACGGTGTAGACGGTGTAGACGGTGTGGACGGTGTGGACGGTGTGGACGGTGAAGACGGTGATGTAGGCGTTTCTGTAGTCTCTTTCGGTGTAGCTGGCGTCACTTGGGGTGTCTCTGGCGTCGTATTTTGCGTAGGGGCGGTCCCCTCAGGAGTATTCGGAGTGCTAGGAGTATTAGGGGTGTCTGTAGTCGGTGCGGGAGCATCCGGCGTCGGTGTAGACGGTGGCGACACGGAAACCGGAGTCGGAGGGGTCGGCGTCGGAGGGGTCGGAGGTGATACAGGAGGCGTGGAAGTGGGAGGCGTAGGCGTTGGTGGGTCTACAGGACGTCGAGTGGGCGTCGAGGGGGCTGGTGCGTCCGGTGGCGTTGGTGCTTCCGGTGGCGTCGGTGCATCCGGTGGCGTTGGTGCAACCGGTGGCGTTGGTGCGTTTGGTGGCGTTGGTGCGTCCGGTGGCGTTGGTATGGCCGGTGGTGTTGGTGTATCCGGTGGCGTTGGTGGGACTGGTGGCTTTGGTGTGACTGGTGGCTTCGGTGTGACCGGTGGCGTTGGTTTTTCCGCAGGCGCGTCTTTGGTTGAGCTATTGCTGTCCTGAAGGTATCGCTGCAGTGTCGGCGTCACTTCGGACTCCTGGCCTACGACTGACGAGACATCTGCTTCTTCGGAGACCGCGAGTGCGATGAAAGTGATGATACATACAAAGACAAGCGCCGAGTTGATCATTGGAAATAGTTTCATCCTGATATAAAAGACAAGTCGATATGGGAAATAGGAAGCACTTGCTACAACTTTCGCCGCTGCCAACAATTTAGGTGCAAATAGGAACAAGGAGGTTAGCTGAACCTTTGAATGAAGTGAGAATGACGGTTTACGTGAAGAAGGAGCGGCGAGTGCCCTCTTGAAAGCGATAGGATTCGATAGGGAAGGGAAGTGCCATTACTCACACCTGTCATATCTACGATATCCCATTGTCGCATACAAATTAAGAGACTATTTCTAAATTGATTTGAGTCTGCAGGTATCCGTCTCTATACAACAACGTACGCTTGTGGCGTTACTAGAAACGAATCTCGATGAACATAGATAACACTTTTCACTATTAGCAGTTACTTCGAAAGAAAGATTTCAGAAGTGTATATGGACAATTGTGTACTGTGTAGTGCGCACCGGAAAGCTAACTAACGGTGTTGGCGCTTGCAATGTGACGCTACCGTTACAAGGGCTTTGTTATTACATCTAGAGAAATACATTTATCAGAAAACTCCAGTGGCAGTGATTTATGTGTGGTGGCGAATACCGGCTATCGATTTACAGCGGTCAGTTCCCGCCCTAATGCTCGGGCAACAGCCGCAGCAAACAAAGCCTGGGCTCGAAATATGTAGTTGAGATTGTCAGTTCGAATCTAGAATGGATTTTCTAATATGCGTACTGTAACTAGATGCAAACTCCATCATCTTCATCTTACCTAAAAGGTGATGATGACCAACAAATGCATGTATAAAAATGGTCGACAAAAGCGCTCGACTAGCTACTTGGTAGTAGAGCGATAGATGCCAGTTGCACATTAATGCTCTTGTGTGTTGACCAGTTTTGCTCATAAATTCATTTTTCTTAGAATGAGAATACAATGAAAGAGATTTTCTGTCCAGAAATCACACTATCACTTGTCTTCTTAATTCCACTTTATAGTATTATATTACAACAACAGGAAATGTAAAAAATTACAGACTCTTTGGCTAACCCATGTTTCAAAGTGGAATACTCAGGCTGACATGACTCCATCATATCTCTGCTCAACCGATTATACGATCTGCGTCGTCCCTAATTTTAGGGATCACATTACAGTTATGTTTTATAAATTACTTTGCAATTGGCCTTTAAACCAACGAAGCTGGGCTTCGTCAGCATACTTCGTACTCTAGTGTAAATGCAGCTTACTAATGCAGAGAAGCGAGGTCTTAGCGAGTGTACGCACACATATGAAAACATCAACATATTGTTTGACTGGAGATAGTTTTCTTGGATTGGTTCTTAGCGTTTTGCCACTCATCGATCTCTTTTCTAATTGATTGATATCGACCATGATATTAAACAAGAGAATACAAACTTTTCGGTTTGACAAACTTAAAGGTAGTGTATTGATTGACATATTTAACTTTCTTAAAATCCAGTTCCCTCTGTCAACCTTCTAATTCATATGCAACTGCTACATCTAAGTCTACTAAATTCTTTGCTGTTTGTGGATGCAAACCAAGTACAATTTCGTCGTACAAAGGATGTGCCTTGTCTTCCATTAAACATTCATGGCGTCTCTGGTCAATACTCCCTCGTCACTAATGCTAAGCAGGCTTGGCTTAATGCCACTTTCTCCCAGCAAGTACTTCAACCTCTTCGTCTCCAACATCTTGGCGAGCATATCCGCGGGCTGGTTCATAGTCTGCACTTCGTTCATCACAATGACGTTTCAGGTTACATTCTCGCAAATCGAATTGGTGACATTTATTCACGTGCTTGATCCGTGAGTGCATGCTAACGTGGTAAAGCCCCAATTTACTATTCAGATTGGTGTCACTCCCATTTGCTCGTGACCGAGATCCTTGTGCATGGATACCCAAAGCATTTTCTGCGTACACAGGCTTAGCGCCATACACTTCGCTTGCGCTGAACTCAATGCCGACGAACGTTAGTTGTAACGGGCCAATGGTTACACGAGTACGTTAAGTATATAAGACCTTCACGGGAAGTTTTAAAAAGGTAAGTGGTACCTTAGACCTCCTCCTTGGGTGAGGCACATCAATGTGGCCTGCCCTTGTGAATGCGATATCCATTGATGAAATTGGAATTCGAAGGGGTTGACGCCCAGTTGGAACTAGGCGTTATGATGACGTTACGGACGGATATCATTAGCAAGCTTGCATATAATTAAGCTCGCACGTAAGTGTGAGTTTTTAAAGAGATGCGCATCCAATCATTGCATATAACTAACCGATTAGTAGTTAGATTTATATTTGATTATTTTCTATTATATATAAGTCAGTCTTGAATTTGCTTACTACCTAGCACTGCGCACGAAAAGCGTAATATGTAACGGGGTGAGCTCGTTACATAATATTGACACTTATATGAAGTGTCAATAAAATATTATTATAACTAATAATATTTTGACAATATTACCTTTTCTTATAATATTGTTCCTAGATCTCCTTGAAGTTGAAGATGCCCTCTTATTGGTTGATATGGGCCATCATATCAACCAACGCGCTGACCAATGACCGATGGACGCGCGCAATGAGTGGAGGGCAAGTTGTCGACATACATAGTTGTAGTTTAATATAGTTAACATAGGTTATAACAGATTAGTTTTATTAAGATAGTTAACTATATTAAATACAGTTTTTCTTTTCCTCTACTTCTAAGCGTTTGTTTAGAAGTAAAGCTTCCTCTGCCTCTTGTGTAAGAGAGGTAATTGAGGCACCTGCTTTCACTGTAATCAGTGAAAGTAGACTATACTGTAATCAGTATAGTCGGAGGGTGCCCCGTTACACCTGGTAGCACTTCGTGGTCCGTTCAGCGACCACCGCACCACCCGCTATGGAATCAGCGGGTGATGAACGTCATCACGCAACGCGTGATAAATCCCGCCATTTAAGTGACCTCGAATGGAATGCGGTTCAGCGTATGGCTGAAACCATCGGCAACCCTGCCGTTGGTGCCATGTTGCTCTCTCTTAGCGGAGACGACCAACATGCAACCATCGCCAAGTTCATACAACATGAACTTGACGAAGTTGTAAAGAAACTCACCTTGCTAGAGGAGCAAGGTTCTCAACAGGTTGAACTGTTGAGAGAACAAGGCGCTTAACAAGCTGACTTGTTGATGCAGCAGGGTGCTCAACAGTCTGAACTGTTGAGACAACAGCAGGCTAGTGCTGTTGCTGCCGGGTCGACGTGCATACGTCGACCCGAGTCCTTGAAGATTGATGTCTCCAAGTACAAGGCAGTCGAAAGTGACTCCTTGTTGAGATGGTTCGTCGAGCTCGACGATGCCATTGAGGCTCGTCGCATCGATGACGATGCGATGAAGGTCAAGTTCGCCATGTCGAACTTGGCAGGACGTGCCAAAGCTTGGGCCTTAGGGCTCAAACTGCACGACCCATACGTTTTCCCAACGTATGACGTCTTCAAGGCGCGGCTCAAACACACGTTTGAACCGCCTCGCGCCGAATTCAGGGCTCGGGCTGAGCTCCTGGATTTGAAACAGGGTAAGCGTGATATACACGCTTACGCCCAACACGTACGATACCTCGTTAGCTGTATCGTACTGAGCCCAATCGATAAACACACGCAGGTTACTGTGTTCATCAAGGGTCTGACAGATGGTCCTGCCAAGACCCACCTGTTCCGCTTGGAGCTAGAATCGCTGGACCAAGCGATCTCTGCAGCGGAACAGGAGGACTTTAGCCTGCAACAGGCTCACGTCCACTCGGGGTCCTATCGTCCACCGAGACGACAGGAGGGCGGAGGTCCAGAACCAATGGACCTCTCCTATGTAGAGAGCGAGCGACCTCGCTCTCCAGGGTACAAGCGATTGCAAAAGTGCAATCGCTGTCAGAAGTTGGGCCACTACGCTTATGAGTACGCCCAGTGTCTCGTAACACTGGGAGTGACGATCGACCGTCTGCCAAGAAGGGCCAGAAACGTGGGTCCCACGTTGCTGCGAAATCGCAATAACGTGGTGGACCATCAAAAAACGGTCGGGGTCAGTAGGGGCGGAGCGCCCTACTGATCCAGCAACGTCAAGAGAGTTCGCGGGACTCTTGACGAAGGTTGCTTCCAACACACAGTCACTGTGTGTTGCCGCTCCCAGTGATGAGGTATCCCTCATCACATTGAAGATCGAAGTGACAAAGAACATGTCACTTCGCGCCCTAGTTGATTGTGGGGCTTCGAACAACTTTGTTCGACGCCAATCGCTAGATGATCGTAGGCTCAAATATGTTGAGCGCGAGACCCCTCCAACGAGGATGACGGTGCGCCTTGCAACTGGCGCATCCGTAACAGTAAAGAAACGTGTAGTGGGAATTCACTACACGATTGAAGGCAAAAAGTACGATGATGATTTCATCGTACTTGATCTGGACGACAAATTTGATGTCATCCTAGGATTACCATGGGATAGAAGGTACGAGCCATGGGTCAGCTGGCAGCATCGAACCGTGAAGATGCCTGCCGCTTGTTCATCAGATGGCCATCTGATGAATGTCTTGGAGCGTTCACAAGCGTGTGAATGTACTACGAGTGAGTGTGATGGCCTCACTTGTGGTTCGGTCGTTAGTACGACTGCACAAGAACTCAGCGTGACAGACAGTCACGCTGTGGAACAAGCTGCCGGCGGCTGTGCACAAGCACAGGCAGCGCCGAAGGTCCACCACTCGAATAAGTCGAGTGGACGGGGACATGAATGCTCGCCTAGAGGGCAGCATTCACCGAAGAGTAAACCGGTTGCCCAGAAGCGGCAACACGGTAATCCTAGATCAACTGGAGAGTTGATCGTAGAGGATCTCGCTGTGGTTGCGCCACCACAGCTAGAGGAAGTCGATGGAACAGGTTCCATCGAGCCTGCGGGAATAAGTCCCCAGGAAATAATCACTGAGGGAATAAGTCCCCAGTGCCCTGAGGGAATAAGTCCCCAGGAGGAAACCGAGACGTTGAACGTCTTGGTTA